ATGGATTCGATCTACAATCCCTCCTACTAGGTAAACTCCTCCGTTCCCTTTCTTTTCCTTCGTAAATTTGTTGCCATTTTAGAGATTTGTCCAAGATTTGATGGGACCCATGATTTGCTTGATTCAGGATGTGTTTAGTTTTGTTAGATATATATGAGATGCCTAGTTCACAATATATGATTCTTGTTAGTGAAACCCTAGATTGTTTAGTTTTTTTAGATATATATGAGATGCCTAGTTTTGTAGATAACTATGAGATGTTGAGTTTTGTAGACATATATGAGATGTTTAGTTTTTTAGATATATATTAGATGTTGAGTTTATTTGAAATATGAGATGTTGAGTTTATTTGAACACATATGACATACGAGATATATATGAGAATTTACAATCATTTATTCATTGTGTGAGAAGGAGATGTTGACATTCTTGTAGTTGAACACATATGAGATGTTTAGTGTATATCGATATTTGAGATGAAGATGAACTCATATATGTTTATTGTTTGAACTTTGTAAGGATGGTTTGGCTTCTTGACGATACTTACAACACACGACACCGGGCCTACATGATGCGCAAGAAGGAGATGGTAATAATGATTAATCTAAATATTTTGCAAATTTGCCTTTAGTTGAAATTGACATGCCCTAAGATTTGTCATTACTTGTTTTTTGCAGAAGCTTGAACCTTTGAAGATTCGGTATCATGGGGTCTCTTCTCCTACCATGCCCTATGATGAGCGGTACACACCCTACATCCAGCAGGCAGGACTCCTCCCATGGATTCAGTTGGTCAGTCGGTCCATGTTGGGGGTTGGGTGCGACATATGCCAAGGGATGGCTTATCATGGTGGGAGCGAGTAGAACGTCGCCGGTGCCTGGAAGCAGGATAAGGCGTAGACACAAACACCGGCGCACTTTACCCAGGTTGGGGGCTCTTCTTGGAGATAATACCCCTACTCTAGCTCTGCGGGGTCTCTGCATGATCACTAAGGCACTAGTGAATACAAGGTGCTCCTTGAGCTGTATGCTAGAGGTTGGGGGACGCAGGGCTAGCTCTCTTCTTCCTCTAGATATGAGTCTAGGTCTATCAGGTTCGGAACCCTTTGCATGGGTGCCTGGGGGGGTGTTATATAGGCCTACCCCCCAGGGGTACAATGGTAACTTGGCCGGGTGCTGGGCCCGGCTGTCAGCGTCTCTGGTCGCTGGCTTCTCCGCCGGCAGCTGGGGCCTGCCGCCTGGCGGGCCCTCCGACTGGTCTGGTACGGAGCCGACAGGCTGCGTCCGCCGCTGGCAGGTCTGGTTGGTGGCTGATCACTGTAGCCATGGTGCTAATGACGCAGGCTTGGTCAGGGGAGCGTGCCTACAATCCCGCCGCCTGGTGGGAGATCACTGTAGCCACACCGCACCCCGTCTGGCTGATGGTATACTGCCTTCGGGGGAGGGTTCGGCCGCTT